CCGGCGGGCTCCGTAACCCGGCTCTCCCCGGCAGAGAACCGCCCGGACGCCACCACCAGCAGCAGCAACGGCACCAACAGCATCAGCATGTCGGTGGAGATCAATGGGATCGTCTACACGGGTGAGGGGCTCCCCCAGACCCCACTGCCGTGGGCGGGGGCTGCTCCACCACCGCCGGCCCCAGCAGCCCCCACACCCACTCCCACGCCCTTCGCCCCGCTCCACGGCAGCCACGCCACCCCAGCTCAGACCCCGCTCTCTCCCCAGGTGTGCTGTTCGCCCAGACGCCCGGCCCTTCCTCCTCCTCTTCCTCCTCCTCCTCCTCTGCCTACAGCAAAGGCAACAGCGGCGGCAGCCGGAGCAGCGGCAGCGGCGGCAGCGGGGTGGGAAGCGGGGCTGGGAATGTGCCCCCCACCACGGCCAGCCTGGCTGTGCCCCCCAGCTCTACCTCCAACAGCGCTTCGCCTTAACGCCCCGGACCCCCCGAGCCCCGGACCCGGCCGCAGGAGGACGGGGGCTCACCGGGGTCCCAGCAGGTCTCAGGGGGTCTCGCTCGAGGTCCTGCCGGGGTCTCAATGGGATTTCACTGGGATCTCACCAGGTTTTCACTGGGACCTCACCAAGGTCTCACTGGGGTCTCGCCCGAGGTCTTGCCAGGGTTTCTCTGGGGTCTCATCAGGGTCTCACCAGACCCTGCCCTTGTTCTCGTGTTGTTGGATTTTCCTTTTCCAGGCAGAAAAGCTTTAGCCCGGGGGGTTTTGCCGGAGCCGCCGGCTGTCCGGCTGCACCGCTCCGGGACCGTTTACCTCACTCACATCACACTTTGCACTGTACATTTATTATTATTATTATTATAATTATTATTATTTTTTAACTGGTGTTACCTCCAGACAGACGCACGGACGCCTGCTGACGCGAGCGCTAGCGAAACCCCCCGGAATTCTAAAGGATAAAAACCCGAGAATCCTAAAAAAAATTGGAAATAGGGAGATATTTTATTCATTTCCATCCTTTTCCCTCCTTTATTTTGGGAACTCCACTCTGCAGGATTTTAAGAGGTTGTTTTTGATTGTTTTGTTGTAAATAGCTTCTATTTTATTCTCTAAACAAAAAAAGAATCAAACTTTTAACATGCAAATGATATATATTAGTCTTCATCAGGGAAAATGGGAGCTTGGAAAAACATTGGAATCTCCTTTCTCCTCTCATTATCGGTGGTTGGGTCCAGCTCTGCTCCTTCCCCCACCGGTAAATCCTAATTTTTTTTCCTTCCCCTGCATAAAACTACTGTTCAAAGCCACTTTGGGCTTATTTCCTCCAAAAAGAAGCAGGATCCAGAGGATGGGATGCTCAGGGCTGCGGGACGCTCCAGAGGTGGCGGAGGACCCGAAGGACCCGAGGATTTATTTTGAGCCTCACAATCTCATTTTTTACCGTCCCCCCCCCAAAATTCACCCACATCTGCGTGAGACACAATCCGACCCGATACCGAAACCCCCGCCCCCCTCGGTATCTCCATTCTCAGGTTCCCACCTGGAGCACAGGGTTTTCCCCCTTCCCCAGGTGCCCGGGGGGGTCCGGGCTGGTGGGACCCCCCTGCTTTATTTTTAATTTCACTCGGGGAAGTGGCGATCTCAGGGGATTTGGGGTTTTTCCAGCTGGTTTTGTTGTTTTTCGGCCTTTTTTTCCGTGCTGGAATCCCCTTGGTGGCTCCGTGGGGGGTCTTGGTGGCTCCATGGACCCTTTAGGGAGGTCTGGGGGGGTCCGTCCAGCTCCTGCTGCTGTTGAGGTCCAGCCCAGCTCCCCGCAAGGAGAAATTCCAAGGGGGAATTTTCATGCCCAGGGCGGGCTTAGATTTTCTTAGTGATTTTTTGCATTGTACAGTCACTATTTTGGGTTGTTTTGGGGTTTTTTT